ATACACAGGCAGTTGATGCATTGGTAGTAATCTTCCAAGAATCCTTATATTTTGGAAAAGTCCCAGAGGATTGGGAAACTGCCAAAGTTAACACCCTTGTTCAAAAAAGGAGTCAAGGGAGAACGTAAACTTAATAGATATTATTGCAAAATATATAGAAATTCAGCCAATTCAATTCACTCCACGTGATATCAAGAAATGCTTGGAGACACTGGATACTGACAATCTTCCGGCAATAGTACTGAAGACTTGTGATCCAGAACTTGCTGCTCTCTTAACCAAGCTGTTCCAGCACAGTTACGGGGAGGCGATGACCTAGTGGTATTATTGCTGGACTATTAATCCAGAGACCCAGATAGTGTTCTGGGGATCCAGGTTCATATCCTGCCATGGCAGATGGTGAAATTTGAATTCAATAAAATATCTGGAATTAAGAATCCAATGATGAGTGTGAATCCATTGCCGATTGTCGGAAAAACCCATCTGGTTGACTAATGTCCCTTAGGGAAGGAAACTGCCATCCTCACCTGGTCTGGCCTACATGTGACTCCAGACCCACAGCAATGTAGTTGACTCCCAATGCCCTCTGGGCAATTAGGGATGGGCAATAAATGCTGCCTGGCCAGTGATGCCCTCATCCCATGAATGAATAAAGAAAAAAAAACAACACTGCTATCTACCCGGCAATGTGGGAAATTGCCCAAGTATGTCCTGTACGTAAAAAGCAGGACAAGTCTAACCCAGCCAGTTACCGCCCCATCAGTCTACTGTCGATCATCAGTAAAGTGATGGAAGGTGTCAGTAACAGTGCTATCAAGCAGCACCTGCTCAGCAATAACCTGCTCTGTGATGCCCAGTTTGGGTTCCGCCAGGGCCACTCGGCTCCTGACCTCATTACAGCCTTGGTTCAAACATGGACAGAAGAGCTGAATTCCAGAGGTGAGGCGAGAGTGACAGCTTTTGACATCAAGGCTGCATTCGACTGAGTGTAGCATTAAGGAGCCCGAGCAAAACTGGAATCAGTGGGTATCAGGAGGCAAACTCTCGGTGGTTGGAGTCATACCTGACACACAGGAAGATGGTTGTGGTTGTTGGAGGTCAGTCATCACAGCTCCAGGACATCTCTGCAGGAGTTCTTCAGGGTAATGTCCTCGACCCAACCATCTTCAGCTGCTTCATCAATGACCTTCCCTCCATCATAAGGTCAGAAGTAGGGATGTTCGCTGATGGTTACACAATGTTCAGCACCATTTGCCACTCCTCAGGTACTGAAGCAGTCCATGTTCAAATGCAACAAGATCTGGACAATATCCAGGCTTGCGCTGACAAGTGGCAAGTAACATTCATGCCACAAAATGCCAGGCTATGACTATCACAAATAACAAACAATCTAATCACCACCCCTTGGCACTCAACAGTGTTACCATCACTGAATCCCCCACTATCTACATCCTGGGGATTATCATTGACCAAAACTCAACTGGATTCACCACATAAACACAGTGGCTACAACAGCAGGTCAGAAGCTAGGAATGCTGCAATGAGTAACTCACCTCCTGACTCCTCAAAGCCTGTCCACCATCCACAAGGCACAAGTCAGGAGTATGATGGAATACTTCCCACTTGCCTGAATGACTTCAGCTCCAACAACACTCAAGAAGCTTGACACCATCCAGGACAAAGCAGCCCGCTTGATTGGCACTACATCCACAAGCATCCACTCCCTCCACCACCGATGATCCGTAGCAGCAGTGTGTACTATCTGCAAGATGCACTGCAGAAATTCACCAAAGATCCTCACACAGCACCTTCCAAACCCATGACCATTTCCATCTAGAAGGACAAGGGCAGCAGATACATCGGAACACCACCACCTCCAAGTTCCCCTCCAAGACATTCACCATCCTGACTTGGAAATATATCGTCATTCCTTCCTATCTCTGGATCAAAATCCTGGAATTCCCTCCCTAATGGCATTGTGAGTCAACCCACATCAGGTGAACTGCAGTGGTTCGAGAAGGCAGCTCACTACCACCTTCTCAAAGGTAACTGAGGACAGGCAATAAATGCTGGCCAGCCAGCGATGCCCACATCCCACAAATGGACAAAACAAAGCACAGTTCAATTAAGCAGAGTCATGAAGGAGAAAACATACCTGACAAATTTATTAGAACTCTTTGAGGAGCTAATAAGCAGGATAGATAAAGGAAAACCAGTGAATGTAATATTTTTTTATTTCTGCAAAGTGTTCAGAAAGTTACTGCATGTCAGGTTCCTTAATAAGAGAAGAGCCCATGATGTTGAAGTAATATATTAGCATATATAGAGAATTGACTAAATAATAGAATTCAGAGAGTTGGGATGGGGACACATTTTTCAGGATGGCATCGTGTAACTATTGGAGTGCCATGGGGATCAGTATTGGGGCCATAATTATACATGATATATATTAATGACCTGGATGAGGGAAGTGAATGTACTATCACCAAGTTTGTAATGACACAATAATGGGTGGGAAGGCTGAGGTGAGGATGACTCAGAGCGTGTGGAAGGATATAGGCCGATTAAGTAAGTGGGCAACAAATTTGCAGATGGAATATGAGGTTTTGCACTTTGGCAGGTTGAATAGAGGAGCTGAAAATTGTTTTAAACGGAGAAAGACTGCAACACAGGGATTTGATGTTCTACGAACATAAATCATGAAAGCTAGCATACAAGTTCAGCAGATGATAGAAAGGTGAATGGAACAAAAACAGAAATAGCTGGAGAAATTCAGCAGTTTTGGCAGCATGTGTGGAAACAACGCAGAATTAACATTTTGAATCCAAACACTTCTTCATTTCACAAATGGAATGCCTTCTGAATGTAAATGTACTTGATTTCAAAGGGAATAGGGTTAAAAATAAGGAAGTCTTGCTTAATCTATACAAGGCACCAGTCGGATCACACCTAGAATACTGTGAACTGTTTTGGTCCCATAGTTTTTTCATGAGGAGAGGTTGAGTAAGTTGAGTGTGTATGCAATAGAGTTTAGAAGAATAAGAGGTGAACTTATTGAAATATATAAAATTCTTAGAGAGCTTGACAGAATAGATGTGGTGAAGTTGTTGCTTCTTGTAAGTGAGTCTAGGACCAGAGGGCATAATCTCAGAGTAGCAGGTCACCCAGTTAGGACAGAGTTGAAGAGGATGTTTTTTCCCCCACAGAGTGTGAATCTATGGAATTCTTTACCAGAGTCTGGATCATTAAAAATATTCAGGACTGAGAGAGACCTTTAGTCAGTAAGGAAATCAAGGGTTATAGACAAAAGGCAGAAAATTGGAGGTGAGGATTATCAGGTCAGCCACAGTTTATCTCATTAAATGGTGGAGCAGACTAGATGGGTTGGATGGCCTACTTGTTTTCCCACATCTTATTGTCTTAAGTTGTCCTTGAAGCAGAGAAAGTTAAGGATCAATTTATAGAGGTGTTCCACATTTTGAAGGCAGTAGGGAAAAGTCTGTTGCCTTTGGAATGATAACCAGATGTCATAAATTGAACTGTAAATAAACTAGTGAAAAAAAAGCAATGAGAAATGAGAATTTTTTTTCATGCAGAAGGTGAATAGGATCTGGAATGGGTGATAGGGTGCTGGAATCAACAAACGTCTTATTTTGTTTGTGCAGGCAGTTTGTTCATATATGTAGCCTTGTGAAATCCTCTTGCATGTCTATGCATGCACAGTGAAGAGGCTGCCTTTCTGCATAGATTGTGCAATCAAACTCTTATGAGTAATTTTAAATTCAACAGCTCTTTCGAAGACAACAAGGTGCAGGGCTGGATGAGCACAGCAGGCCAAGCAGCATCGTAGGACCGAGACAACAAGGTGCAGGAGAGTTGGAACTGCACAACAGCTTGAATAGTTACCTATGCTGTAAGATCCCATGATAAGATTATAAAATACACCAAGATGCATCACAGACCACTCAGATAAAGTTTGACATTGCTTCACACAAGGAGATATTAGGACAAGTGTTCAATAGCTCATTTAAAATGATAAGTTTTAAGGATTATCTTAAAGAAGTTGAGAAAAGCAGACAAGTGTAGGGAGGGAATTCCAGAGCTTCTGACCCAGGCAGCTGAAGGCATGACTGCCAACATTGGAGGAAAGAAAATCTGGGAGCTGGAAGTGGATTGGAAAAGTGCAGAAATCTTTGAGAGGAGGAAGTCAGGGAAATGTCATAGAAGAAAGAAGAGGCAAAGCCATGGTGGGAACTGGGAAAAAAAAACGAGAATTTCTAAAGCAAGGTGTTGCTGGACCATGCCGAAACCCTTCTTCAAGACTGGGGAGGGGGAGGGGAGACCAGAAATAAATAGAGGGAGGGGAGTGGGGCTGGGGAGAGGGTAGGTGAGATGGAGATCGATGGATGCAGGTAGGGGGTTATTGTGGTTGGTCAGTGGGAAGGGTGGAGCGGATAGGTGAGTAGGAAGATGGACAGATTGGGGATGGAGAGATTTTGAAGCTGGTGATGCAAGTAGGGGGTTATTGTGGTTGGTCAGTGAGAAGGATGGAGCAGATAGGTGAGTTGGAAGATAGACAGGTTGGGGTCTGCCATCTTACTGTCTCCAATAGTAGGGGCTATTGGTACCAATACAAAGCTTCCAAAATGAGCAAGGCCCAAAGGAAGAGTTGCCTTTTCTCTCTCCTGTGGATTTGTGTACATTCTGGCAAGCAAATGATATGATCAAAGTGTTCTGACATTTCTGACTGCCATGGGATACCAGTGAATAGAACCAACTGATGACACATATCTCATGTCAAATTGCCCATGTGTGGGAGGATTATATCAATGGTATTATTAATTATGTCTTGAATGGACCCTGGCAGTGAAGTTGTGATGATAGGTGGCTTAAATGATATGTGCTCCTGCTCTTTTGTTTGCTTTGTAGACAACTACTTGTAGACTGAATAAAATTAGTGTGATTAAGACTGTAACCTGGATAAATTTGTATCCCTGTAGAGCAGAAACTACAAAAACAAGCAAATATTATGTGTCAGCGGCTTGGACACCTGGTTATTCCCATAGCCATGAGGTTATTCTCCGATGAAATGATTTCGCAGTATGAACTCGACATTGTGCAGGGGCAAACAACAGCTTACGGTCAAGCCCAGCGATTGATTAATATCTGCCTGCAGAAAGGAGAGCGTTCCTGTCGGAAACTCTATGAAGCTCTACATGAGGAAGACACAATCCTGGCAGAAGATATCAATGGTCAGATTACGCTTCATTATTTGACTTAATGTAGAGTCACAGACAGAAGATACCGTCACTAGATAAGATGCTGCATGAAACAGTCAGCGCAGTTCGAGTTGTTAAAGATTTTGAATATGCATCATGAAGTATTTTAAAGTTTTTGCAAATGATCTAAACTAAAATAAAAAATACTGCTGCTATTAAAGGATTAGCTGCTAGTTCTTTGGTTTTTGAGCACTGGCAGCAGGTTCATGAACCGAGGAAATGGCTGTATCACTGTCACTGTGATATCGTGGCTTAGTAGTGTGTTACTGAGTGATCGGCCTATTCCTGAGATGAGTTATGTCACTGAACAGAATTCTGTTCCAGTCTACATTGGCAATGAATCATAGGTTACAGCACTGAAAGCTGTTTGGCCTGTCCATTCCATGTCATCTCTCTGCAATAGCAACTCAGCTAATTCCACTCCCTCAGCCTTTTCCCTTCAGTCCTGCAAATTTTTCCTTTTAAATACTTCATTAATTCCCTACTGAATGCACTGCCTCCACTACTCTTTCAGGAAGTGCATTCCAGATTCTAACCACTCACTACATATTTCCTCATGTCTTGTTTAGGTCTTTTGCCAAGCACCTTAAATCTATGTCCTCTGGTTCTGGACCCTCCTGACAATGGGTAGTTTCCTTTTGTCTACACTTCTGAAGCCCTCATGATTTTGAATACTTTGATATCCTCTCAATCTTCTCTTCCCCAAGGAGAACCATCTCAGATTCTCAAATCTATGCACACCACTGAAGTCTGTCATCTCTGAAACTATTCTCTAATGTCTTAAAACCATTCCTAAATAGTGCAGTTCTCAGAATTGAATGTAATTCTGCGGTTGAAGTTGAACTGCTGTTTTCTAAAGGTTCATCATAATTTCCTTACTTTTGTACTCTGTGTCTCCATTCATAAAGCCCAATATTCCTTAACGGCTTTTTAAACTGCTTTTATAATCTGTCCTGACATCTATAACAATTTGTACATGCAGACTACCAAGTGTCTGCGCTCCTTCACCCCCTTTAGTTTATATTATCTCTGCTTGTTCCTCCTACCAAAATGTATCACTTTGCACTGTTTGGTATTAAATTTCATCAGACTTGTGCCTGCCCAATCTACCAACCTGGCTATGTTCCAGTCTGATCACCATCCAGTGGAAATGCATCGCCTAGTTCCATTCTGATCTGTCTAGTCACAGGCAAAGAATTGCCATCAATGGCTTCTTTTCACACACCTGAGCAATTCTCCCTGGTATCATCCAAGGATCTATTCTCGATGCCCTCCATTTCTTCTGCACTGACCAGCCGTCAGCTGCATAATTAGAAAACACAATATCAATTTTTAACTTGAAAGCTGACAACACCCAGCTTTTTGTCACTGCTAACCCTCCACCATCTCTAAACTGTCACGCTACTTGTCCAACAGCCAGTAGTGATTTAGCAGAAATTGCTTCCCACTAAAGGTTGGAAAAACTGAAGCAATTGCCATCCATTCTCCAGCCACCAACATTATTTCTTTCCCTGGCAACCACCTGAGGCTGAACCAGACTCTGCAATATTGGTGTTATATTTGATCTGATGTGAGCTTCCAGCCACATATCTCATAGAATTCCTACAGTGTGGAAACCAGCCATTTGGCCCATCAAGCCCACACCGACCCTCTGAAGAGCATCCCACTCATATCCCTGTAATCCTGCATTTCCCATGGCCAATCCACCTAGCCTGTACATCCCTGGACTGTGGGAGGAAACCAGCGCACCCGGAGGAAACCCACACAGCCTGAGGGTGGAATCGAACTCTGATCCCTGGCGCTGTGAGGCAACAATGCTAACCACTGTGCCACCCATCGCTATTTCCTTCTTAACAACATTTGTCTTTATCTCACCTCATCTGCTGCTGAAACCCTCAGCCATGTCTTTGTTACCTCGAGACTTAACTATTCCTGTACACGCCTGATCAGCCTCTCATATTCTATTCTCTGCAAACTTGAGGTCATCCAAAACGCTGCTATCCACATCCCTACTCAGCATTTACCTGTGCTCACTACTCTTCGTTGGCTAAGAAATGTCACAATTTTAAAATTCTTACTTGCTTTTCAAACCCTTGCATGGACTAACTCCTCCTTATTTCTGTAACATCATCCAGCCTTACAAGTCCCAAGATATTGGCCCTTCTCTAATTCTGGCCTCTTGAGTATTTCCATTTTTAGTTGCTCCACCATTGGCAACCATGCCTTCAGCTGCCACAAACACAAGCTCTGGAATTCCCTTAATAAATGTCTCTGCCTCAGTATTTCTCTTTCCTTCTTTAAGATTCTCTTTAAAACCGACTAAGTGTCCATGTCTGAAGGCGTATCCCTTTTGGCCACCTATCCTAATGGGCCACATTTTCTTTATAGTCCTCATGTAACCCTGGGATGGTTTTTTGTATTAAAGAGTTCTATAAATGCAAATTGTCACTGAACATTTGGTCTATCCCTGAAGTGGTTGATGTCTCTGAGCATTTAGCCTGTCCCAAAAGTGGTTGATGTGGTGGAATATTCACTGTATCCCTGAGGTGGCTGTTACCTTTGATCATTCAGCTCATCCCTGAAGTGATTGTTGTCTCTGAAACGTCTCGTGGTCCCTGATGTGAGTGATGTTATTGAACAGTAAGCCTGTCCCAGAAGTAGGTGATGTCATTAGACACACCATCATGTTGACGCAGTGAGGCTTTGGACCCAATCATGAAAGTTTTTTTTTTTTTTTTCTCTCTCTGTCTTTACTGCAGCTCCTTATGAGAGGGAACCAGCATTTCCTATCCAGCTACAGCAAGGTAAGGGAGTTAGTTCGACACAAAACCCATGACAACAGCAGAATTATGAGAGAATTATGCTCCTTATGAGAGGGAACCAGAACATTGGCCCAAGATAAAGTGTTGGCAGTAAACTGCATGTTATGGTGATGCTTACTGCACCATTATTTGTGCCTTATGTTGTGTTTTAAGCCAGTAGTGCTACCTGCACATTGAAATATCAATCTGGAAGGTTCTCAGTCTCCTTACTCCTTATCACAAGTAAGATGCTGCAACTCCTTATGTGCTGTTCCTTTACCTACATGTGTACATAACAGATTATCAAATATAACTGTCTAGTGTCTAAGACCTCACTCATCACATGTTCATTCTAGACGGGGATATTTTCTCTTAACAATATCAGTGTCATGTGATCAGTTACAGTGTCAAGATTTATAATTCCACTAAATCAGTTTGCCCCACATTGAGATATTGGGGTTAATCACAGAGAGAGCCAACTCTCCCTCTCTAATGTTGCATAATTTTCACTGGTATTATGTGTTTCTTAGAGTCACAGAGAAAAGCAGAAATAAGCCCTTCAGCCCACTGGTCAGAAACAACCACCCAACACTTCCAATAGCATTTTCCAGTACTTATGGTGTGATCTTGTCGTGTCAAACAATATTTTAAACCAACAGAAGGGAATGACCTAACTTGCAAACTGTGTTTTTTATCTGCCCCTCTTCAATTAACCTCAGTCAGCTAAATTCAGTACTGCCGAGGTATAAATGCCCTGACAGGCAGGGAATCCTCCACCTCTTTAGAAAATGATGAACAAAGTAACTAACAAACTGGAACTGTGAAGGAGGTAGCCGAAGGGATCCAAAACATAGAACGGCTCGTCAAGATCATCTTGTAATTCCACTTCGGTTGACCTGCTCATGTATAGAATTCCTTAAGGAAACATTCCCTGTGAATGAAGCCTTCCTTGAAAGAGTGTAGGTGTTTGGTGAAGACATATAATCCTCTGATGCATGTTTGAGTCACTAGCAGTTTTCACTCTTTCCTTTGCAGATACGGAGCAACTCCCTTTGTTATCGTCTCCTGCTCCTGCTCCAGAAGAGGAAACGGAGCCAGTATCATCTTGTGAGTGGAGGCTCTCTGGAATGATTTTGTGGGTTGCAGTAATCTGTTGTGAGCACACTTTCCCCCAAACTTTCCAGTGCATCATGTCAGAGGGGAAGAATTAGGAGGGGTGACTGAGGGGTCTCTGAGGTAGGGGACTGTGAAGAAACGTTTAATGTATTGGACAATGGATGTCTAGAGTCTGAACGGTACAGAGATGGACACACTGCCACCAGTGGTAGAACAGGGTTAAAGACGTAGTGTTTGGGAGCATGGTTGTCTGTGAAAGATGTACCGGAGTCAGATTAATAGAAGCCAGCTAGATCTGTCAGTCTGGGAGATGTGAAGAGCTATAAATGAAAACATGGAGTTTGGATTTAGTTTGGTTGTGGCTGGGAAGCCAGTGGAGGATATTTCTACAGCAGCTTTCATATCTCAGGATGTCCCAGAGTGATTTGCAGTCAGTTAAGTATTTTCTGAAATGTAATCACTGATGCAATGTAAGAAATGCAATCGCTAATTTGAGCACAGCAAGCTTCCACAAACAGAAATATGATTATGACTGGCTAATCTATTGTAAGGAGTTGTTCAGAGATAATATTGGCTACAATACCATGGAGAATTCCCCTGCTCTTCTTCAAAATAGTGCCTGAGAGAGTAAACAGGGCCTTGGTCTAACATCTTGTTTGATAAATGGCATTTGCACCAGTGTGTGCTGCCTTAGGGTTACACTGGAATGTCAGACTTGATTATGGGCCCAACTCCTTGTGTGTAACTTGAACCTGTGACATTCTGACTGCCATAGCTGACACAGGGGTTCATGGAAGAATGAAACATGATGTGGGCATTGGAGTTGTGTGGAAGGTGTATTTTCCAGTAGGATTGATCCTGATAAATATGTTGTTGGTAAATGGAAGCCATGACAAGGGCGTAGAGGAGGGTTTGAGCAGCAGACTGAGAGAGGGTCAGCAGCTGGAAATGTTGCAAGGTGGAGATGGGATTTAAGAGTTTGAAGCATTGCATGTGAATTCACATCACATTCCTGTTTGCTGTATAGAGAACACATTTTGAGATTCAACAGCAACAGCCATTTCTGTGATGTCTTTTTAGCTAGCACAGAAACATTCTGCAGTTTGATATCAAACCCAAACAGTACTCGATCAATTGGAGATGACAACTTAATCGTAGGTTTTCAGACAGCTTTGGAAGTGGGATGTTACACAGGAGAAGGGCTTAGCAAGGGAATTCCAGAGAGGCTAATGAAGGCTCCACTGGTGATAGGGACAGAGGAAATATTCAGCATTGAAAGAACTACAGTAGTAGGCAGGTTCTATCCGCTCATACAAAGCAATGTGTAAAATCCCAAGGGTCCATTCAAGGAAAAACACTCCTGGGGATCATTTGTTCCTCTATCAACTCTGCCCAACACAGGTTGATTCCTCATTGATTTGTTCACTGTTTGTATGTAAATTGTTTGCCCTGTTTTCTCCAAAATACTATCACCTGCACTTAGGAGCTTCACACCAGATTTACCTTCTCTTTGGAAGATTACAAGGTGCATGATGAATACATGTGCTTTGTATTCCATGTTCCATTTGAGCAGCAAGAGAAGTTTGGATAATAAGCTGCTGTTAAATTTACTTTTTGGGTGTGTTCCTGAGTCTTCCCTCTCGGTGTCCAGCTGAAAGTGATTTTCCTACATGGGTTATTACATTGGTGCTCTGCAGTGTTCCCCGTGACTCACATTCAGGAACTGTGATTGGCAAAGTCTAACTTTCCTTCACACAACATGTAAATTTGTGTCAGATCTCCTGAGTGATGCAAGCAATGACCACAGACATAGCCAACCTGCATCTCTCTAGAATTTATTTTCCATTTATTGTCTTCCAGGGTTGCAAGATTTGAAGCTGAAGTGTGGATATGGTGAAGAAATTCAGCTGCAACAAATAGAGAAAGGTTTGCATGTGGTAGAATGTATGTGTTCTCATAAACTGCAGTAGATATAGCTGGGTGAAGGGGGTTTAGGTGTGGAACTGAGCAGCTGCTCCAATCCACTTGTTATTGATGTGAACTCCACCAGTGCCATTTGTCATTTGAGGTGGGAGGGGGGTGTCCCTGCAACAACAGTTCCAGTAGGGAAGGTAGCATGGAGGCTACTAACAGGAGTGGGTTGAAAGGCTTGACAACGATGCAGCTCTCCCTCTCAAAAACATCACACTACAGTGGCTCTCAGCTCAGAAGGATTCTATATAGACTGAGCCATCTAGGGCCCTTGCTCACAGAGGTCGATGGCTTGGTTTACTTAGATGTGCCTCTCACAGATACCGTTGTCCTGGCTGGTGCACTTCACAGACACAGAAGAGGGTGCTGGGAACATGCTTGCATTCCTGGGGGAGAGAAGAATTACAAGAATCAGTCATTTGCGTGGGATTTAGAAAATGTTACTTTGCTTCAGTAATTCTCGCACACCTTGAGATGTGGTGTCTGGGGAACAACATGGGCTCGTCCTATTTAATTGGATGGAGGGTAAATGTGAAATGGAATAACTGCGACAGGTGTAGTGATTCTCAAAGTGTGGTGCAGGGACCATGTGAGCTGTGGAGTCATTTCACGTGGTCCACAAGATAGGCCAAGATGCTGTAGTCTATATTCAGTTAAAAAGGCTTGATGGACTTTTGACTGCAAACACATTCCAAGTATCTTGTGCTCACTGGCACAGTTCCAAGCACCTACTTCCATTCTCAACTGCAGGCAATTTAAGTGGAGAGAAATCGTAGAACTCTGCAGTAATGGGGATCTGGGCATCCTGGAACACGAATCAATAAAACGTTGGTTTGCAGGTATTGGAAGGCAAATGGAACGATGGCCTTTGTTGCAAACGGAATTGAGTAAAGAAGTAGGGAAGTTTTGTTGCAGTTATACAAGCTATTGGTGAGAGTATACATGGAGAACAGTGTATAGTTCTAGTCTCCTCTACTTAAGAAAAGATATATAATTTCATTAGAAGATGGAGTGATAGAGTTATACAGCACAGAAACTTACACTTTGGTGCAGCTTGTCAATGCTAGCCAGGTATCCTAAACTAAAATAGTCCCATTTGCTTGCATTTGGCCCATGTCCCTCTAAACCTTTCCTATTCATATAACTGTCTAAATGTTGTAATTGTACCTGTCTCTACCACTTCCTCTGGCAGGTACAATTCCATTCATGCATCACTGTCTGTGTGAAAAAGTGGCCCCTCAGGTCCCTTTTAAATACTTTCCCTCTCACCTTAATTCTATGACACCTAGTTTTGGGCTCCTCTACCCTTGAAGAAAGATCTTGGCTAATCACCCTTTCTGTGCCCCTCATGAATGTCTTGTACAGCTGCAACCCGATGTTCCAACTCCAATACTCACTTCTCTGACCAACGAAGGCAAGTGTGCCAAATTGCTTCTGTCTACCTGCGATACCACTTTCAAGGAACTATAAAACTTCACCTCACGGTCCCTCTGTTCAACAACATTCCCCAGGGCCCTACCCTTAACTGTGTAAGTCCTACCATAGTTTGCCTTACAAAAATGCAATATCTCATTTATTTAAATTAACTCCATCTGCCACTTCTCGGCCCATTGCTGCATCTGATAAAGATCTCATTGTATTCTTAGGTAACCTTCTTCGTAATCCACTATACCACCAATTTTGACGAGACAATTCATTCAACTGATTCCTGGAATGAAAGCAATATGGTATGAGGACAGATTGGCCCTATATTAACTAGAATTTAAAAGAATGAGAGCTGATCTTATGAAAAAATATAGGATCCAAAGAGGTCTTGACAGGGGGGAAATGCAGAGAGGATATTTCTCCTTGTGAGACAGACTGGAACTAGAGGACAGAGTTTAAAGAGTCTTGTATTTAAAATGGAAATGAAATTAAAAATTCTAAAGTTCATTAGCCTGTGGAATTCTCCTTCCCAGAGAGCGACAGAGTCTGGGTTATTGAATATTTTTGAGACAAAGTTAGATAAGTTCTTGGTTAACACGGGGAATCAGTTATGAGGATAGACAGGAAAGCAGAGTTGAGGCCACCGTCAAATCAGCCATGACTTTATCAAATGTCATAGCACACTCGCGCGCCCTGTACCTGCTCCTAATTCATATGCTCATATACAACCAAAACCAGAACAGAAACCAGCTGAATCCAGAGTACAACTGAAGTTTCCCAGCTTGGCCTCATGAAGAGCAGCATCCCATCTTCCCATTAATTCTGTTTAGACTTTATCTGGTATCAAGTGAAATGGGACAGGAGGAACATAGGGGCAAGGGTAAGCTATTCAGCCCCTCAAGTCTGCTCCATCATTCTAGCTCATGGCTGATTATCATTGTTGTTGTTGTTGTTGTTGTTGTTGTTGTTGTTGTTGTCATCATCATCATCATGCTGGAGAGGGTTCAGAAGAGATTTACCAGGATGTTGCTGGGAATGCAGGGTTTGAGTTATGTGGAGAGGCTGGATAGGCTGGGACTTTTTTCACTGGAGCGTAACAGGTTGAGGGGTGACCTTATAGAGGTTTATAAAATCATGAGGGGTATAGATAAGGTGAATGACAGGTGCCTTTTCCCTAGGTTGGGGGATTTCACGATCAAAGGGCATGTTTTAACATAAGTGGAGAAAGATTTAAAAAAGACAGAAGGTGTAATTTTTTTTATACAGAGTGGTTCATGTGTGGAACGAACTTCCAGAGGAAGTGGTTAATGTGAGTTTAAAAGACAAAGTTTAAAAGATGTTCAGATGAGTATATGAATAAGAAATGTTTGGAGGGATATGGGTCAAATGCAGGCAGGTGGGACTAATTTAGTTTGGGGTTATGGTCGGCATGGACTGGCTGGATTGAAGGTTCTGTTTCCATGCTGTACGATTCTATGACTCTGTCTACCTGATTTCATATTTCTGCACTATCCCCATATCCTTTAGTGTCATGAACAACTAGAAATCTGTTGATCCCTGTCTTGAACTTAATAACTGAGTTTCCACAGTTCTCTGAAGTAAAGAATTCCAAAGATTCACCAACCTTCAAGTGAAGAATCTAACCATTTTCCCTTGACATTCGATGGCATTTCATCACTCAATACCCCAGGATCAACATCCTGGGATTACCGTTGACCAGAAACTGAACTAAACCAGCCTTATGAATATTGTGGCTACAAGAGTAGGTCAAAAGTTGAAATTCTGCAATGAATAATGCACCTCTTGTTTCTTCAATGCCTGCCCCGTCAAACCTATCGACCATGATCGAATTGAAAGGTGCGGCAGTCTTGAGAGGCCTAATGACATACTTCTCCTAATTTATATTCCTCCTTATCTCGGTCCTTAATGGCTGCCCTTTTATTCTGAAAGTGAGATGGTGTCTCCTGATTCTAGACTCCAAAACCAAGGGAAACATTTTTTTCAGCATCTACTCTGTCTATCCCTTTAGGTCATCCATGACAGAATACTTTTGAGAATCACCTGCTTACTGGGCTGATTCTGTATTGTAACATTGATCCTGGAATGAATCCATAACCTCTAACTGAGGGGACAGTGTTCCTAACATTCCTCTTCCAATTATTCAGCTTCAGATCTACGTCAATAACGCTGAATCTGATATGATTCCTATCTGTCTGATTTCACACACTCCACAAGAAGATGGACTGCAGCAATCCTGCAATACAGCAGACCATTAACCTACATCACAGGGTGTGGCTCAGTCAGTAATGGTGTCCTTCTGCCCTCGCCATTTACAGCCACATTTGACTGGATCACAAACATTAGTGGGCCCTGTGCAAATCTGCCAAAACTTCTCTCCACTCAAGAGTCATCCTGGAATGCAAAGACAACCACTGGCTTCTTTTCACCACCACAAACCATTATCTTAGAACACTCTCCAATGGTCTCATCCATTTTCACCCCCAATAAGTGTGAGCACTTATTGCCTTATTGTGATTGCCTTATTGCAAAGATTGGGACCATCTGTTTGGCTGCCTCTACTTCCTTTTTCCCATCCGCAGCCCACAGGGCAAAACCTTCTCAATGGTTTCTCCGTTCTAACTCCTTTTCTATATCCCCTTACGCCATCATCAACCTCTTGGTTTTAAATTTATTTATTCATGGGATGTAGGCATCGCTGGCTTGGTCAGCACTTACTGTCCATCCTTAGTTGCCTTTGAGAGGGTGCTGGTGAGCCACCTTCTTAAAACACTGCAGTCCATGGGCTCTTAGGGAGCAAGTTCCAGGACTTTGACCCAGCGACACGCAAGGAACAGCGATATACTTCCAAGTCAGGATGGTGAGTGGCTTGGATGGGAACTTGGAGGTGGTGGTGTTCCAATGTATCTGCTGCATTTGTCCTCCTTGGTGATAGAAGTTGCAGGTTTGGAAGGTGCTATCAAAGCAGCCTTGGTGAGTTCCTGCAGTGTAGCTGGTACATCCTGCTGCCACTGTGCATTGGTGGTAGAGGGAGTGAAGGCTGAAGGTTAGGGCTGAGGTTGGCAATCTGGCAGGTTGCTTTGTCTTAGCTGGCGAGAGTATTCCATCACACTCCTAACTTGTGCCTTGTAGGTACAAATATGCAAATTAAGAAAGCCATTCAGCCCGTCAAGCCTGTCCCACCATTCAATAAGATCATGGCTGATCTTTTTGATAATGAGCAGGCATTGGGAGACAGGAATTAAGCTGCTCATTGCAAAATTCCTAGTCTTTTACCTACCATTGTAGCCACATTTATGTGGTTAGCCTGTTTCATTTTCTGATTAGTTGTAATCTATTCTACAAGTGTTTCTTGTCAGCCCAAGCCTAAATGCTGTCCAGGACTTGCTATGTATGGACATAAGATGTCTCTCAGGAAGACTAGACCTTGGCAATAATTGGAACCTGTCCAATATTACCCACATTCCAGAAATAGTGACACAGATGGAACACAAGTGATTGGGTCAAATCAC